CGGGGGGTGGGCAGGCTGCGCGGTGCCCGTTTCCCTCTCGCCTGCCCCAGCGCTGCAGCCCCGTTCGCTGCCAAGGGCTGAGCTCCGCACAGGATGGGGCAGCGCGGCGCTGCTTTCCCCAGCCCTCTTCTCGCCCGTTTGCTTTCACTGCTTTGCGGCCGTTTTAGGGCGCGTAGCCCTGTCCTGCCCGGCATGCCCACCGCTGTCGGAGCACCCTCTCGCCCTGCACCCCACGGTCTGAGCGGGCAGCAGCGAGCAGCAGTGCCCGGCTCAGTGGCGATCCCCCTCTTTGGTGCAGGCGCAGGATGGGGAGCCTGGTCCGGCTGGGCATCGCCAGCCTGCTCCTGCTGGCGGCTTGGGCAGCCCCTGCTGAGGAGGAGACCAGTCAGGCAGAGAAGCCCAAAGCTGATCTTGCCATCTACGAAAACACGGACCTGGACAACTATGACCTCACGTTGGACAGCTACGGCGAGATCGTTGACTTAAGCAACTATGAGGAGCTGTACGACTACGGTGACCTTGCTCCGAAGGTAAGAGGGAAACAGGAGAGCACCAGGCGCGTGGGGCAGGTCTTGCCGTGGTCCACCCCAAGAGTGCCTTGCCCACAATGTGCAAGGGGCTTCTGCGCGGCCACAGCTGGAGACCTGGGCCTGCCTCCCACCCTCTCTCCAGGCTTAGGAGCCCTGGGCACTCTTCCACCGCTCTTGTTGGTAGCAGCATAGGCCTTTCTATGACCCCAGCCTGCCCCTGCTCCCTTTTCCCTCTCAACAACTGGCCTAGTGTCATTGCTGATGCAAAGAGCATCATTGCAGAAGGTCTTATGTGAAGATAGGGGCCAGAGGAAACCGTGACATAACACCTCCTGTGTCCCTGTGGGTAAATAGGGAGGGCACTTCCCAAAGGCCTGGCCTAGGAGAGCTGTGTAAGTAGGAGCCGGCTTTCCCAGTGCTTTTGACCCCTTGACCAGTGTCCCTTGGTGGGCTCATGCCCTGGAGGGGAGGACTCGCTAGCAGGAGTTCTCCCTGGGCAGCTTGGCTGCTCAGCCCTCATGCCAAAGTTTTCTTTGCAGATTGAGGTTGGGACTCTGGCTCCCCCCACCAAGGCCCAGGAAGGTCTCCCAAACCTGGGCACCACGGCTGAAACGCCAGAGCTGCAGCCTCCATCCACTGCTGCCGCCACTGCCGGGTCCGGCCACCCAGGTCTGCCGGGACCCATCACTGCGGAGGGTGAGTGAGACCCCTGGCTCTGGGCTTGGGCCCACCAGAAAGGGACGATTCATTTCCAGGTGCCACCAAATGTCTGTGGGTGGCACGGAGCGAGCCCGAGCACCCTGGAGGAAAGGGAGCGAAGCCTTTCCCCGGTCGTTTGCTCTGCCTGGGCAGCAGCGGAGCTGGGGGCGCGGGGGCCCCTTGCCAAACGGCCGGCCCGGGGGCTGGAGCAAGACGTTTCTGGGAAACAAGAGCTCCAGCAAACTCCGGCAAAGCAGCAACGTTTTAATGAGCGGAGACATTGCGACAGTCGGACAAAGTAGCAATTAGATTAGCGACAATTAAAATCCTGTAGCGAGGGATAAATATCTTTATTCATTTTCTGTCACTCCAGACTGGGACAAATTAAGTAGGAGGCAAAGGGAAATTGTTGCCTTATTCTGGGAAACAAGAGCTCCAGCAAACTCCGGCAAAGCAGCAACGTTTTAATGAGCGGAGACATTGCGACAGTCGGACAAAGTAGCAATTAGATTAGCGACAATTAAAATCCTGTAGCGAGGGATAAATATCTTTATTCATTTTCTGTCACTCCAGACTGGGACAAATTAAGTAGGAGGCAAAGGGAAATTGTTGCCTTACTGCTTTGAACTCCCCCACTAATGGATGCGGAGCCTCGCGGGCGCTGGGGAGAGGCGCGGGAGCGTGCGAGCGTGGGGGACGCGGCTTCGTCCCCGCCAACGGGCTCACGTCCCACTCCGGCTTGCCGGGCCGCCCTCGTCAC